ATTTATTTATTTATTTATTTATTTATTTATTTATTTATTTATTTATAGGCCGCCCAATCCCGGAGGACTCCGGGTGCCTTATAACGAGGGGGGAAAAAAAGAAATAGTAAAAAATAAAATGAAACAGGTTAAAAACAACACACGTCCATTCGTTTTGATCGGGGCTGGACCTCTACAATGAGGTTAACAGCCCCAGGCCTGCCGGAATAGCCAGGTTTTAACAGCTTTCCTAAAGGCCATGAGACTGGGTGAGGTCCGGATTTCTGGGGGGTAGCTCGTTCCAAAGGGTCGGAGCAGCCACAGAGAAGGCTCTCCTCCGGGGAGCCGCCAGCCGACATTGTCTAACCCTAAACCTAACCCTTACCTTAAGTTAAATCGGCTTTCTGTCAATGCACTGTTATAAAGAGCCCTTTTGTCTCTGCGCTGTTGTCGCCGCGCTGTTGTCGGCACGTTGATTACATCGCGGTTTTAGCGACGCGGTTTAGTCGTTCGCGGTTTTGTCGTTCGCCCTTTTGTCGGGTCACAGTCATGTGACGGACATGTGGATGCTGGGCAGCGACTTGAACTTTCTTTTGGGTGGGGAAAACATGGAAGCTTTCAGATTCGGGTTTTTCCAGATGCGCCAATATGACATCTGTAATAAAATGGAACTTTGAGGGAACTCAAGCCTTAGAGTCTTCTTTCATTGGGGGTGTTACTTGGAACCCTGACAGGAAGCTCCCAAAACATGATCACTTGAGCCAGGACACTGCAACCGACATAAATACATGCCAGTTGCCAAGCATCTAAATTTTGATCATGTGAACAGGGGGATGCTGCAACAGTTGCTAGTGTGAAAAATGGGTCATGTCACTTTTTGAACGCTGTTGTAGGAAGGAAAAAAAAATTACCTCCTTTCTTCTTTCCACAGAATTGAAACTGGGGCTGATTTCGTTCACAAACTTGCTTGTTGTAAAGTGGTACAATCTGTCCATTAATGGTAAAACTGAAATCCACATAGAGTTCATTGATGGCATGCCCTGTGGAATAGATGTAGTATGAATCTTATCAGGAAGTACACAAGAACAAGGCCTTGCCACTTTGCTTAGTTTTCATAAAAGGAAAGAGAGAGAGGGTGACAATGCACATGTGTGTGTGTGAAATGTGGCTTATACAACATGTCTCACCCATTGTGAATCCCCAAATTTAAAGCAATTGGACACTCTAACTTACACCAAATTACTTAAGAGAAATATCTACATTGGGATCAGTGGTGGGATTCAAATAATTTAACAACCGGTTCTCTGCCCTAATGACCATCTGGGTAGGTGGGGCTCGGTGGTC